CCCCCCCCCCCTCTGATTAAGACTTCGCATTAACAAACACTGAGCTGTATCCTCCACTGTCACTGGTTTACCTTGCTGAGTTCAGGAAAAAGCTCCTGCACAGCGATGTCCAGCAGGACGTACGTCATCTGAGGAGACACAACAGCAATGTGAGTTTGGTGGAAAAGAAACAGTTTCAGTCGTTGGAATTTATAAAAACCACAAACACAGGAGAGGACTGTGAAACTGATTTGACCTTTTAGTTAGTTACAACCATCTCATATTTCCTACTGATAAACATACTGATGTGTGAAATCAAAAGTAGCATCAAATATCTGGTCAGTCCTGTTTATTTGAGTCCCGCCTCTTTTTGTTCTGTGCTCCAATCAGAGTTCAACAAGCTACTGTTGTGTTGTTTCTGTTTACCTGCTTGTTGAGGAGAGGCTGCTGGAAACTGTCAAACAGCCGTCGGACGCCTTCGTATTTCGCCTCCTCGCCGATGCACTTTCCCACAAAGTCTGAAAATATAAAACACAAACACATTTAACAATGAATGAGTGTGACAGCAGGTGGGAGTGGGATTAGTGTTTACCAGTCGTGGTGCGTTCGATGACCTCGCTTTATCATCAACCAGCTGCTGTTCCTTCCTCGTGTCCACTGACTTTAAGGGAACAAGCTCATATGGTAACAGAGCTGAGACGAGTATTTCTGGACTGAATCTGATAAACTCGAGGTCGTAGTTGGAACCTGCGGACCGGCTGCGGTGGCGTTTGAGGGAGTGAAAGATAACATCATCTTCTATCAGAATATAACATTGCTCTTAGCGTTGCTCCCTCTCTTCATTCACCCAGTGTAAGACAACAATCTTACATTCTCTGTGACGTTTTACCCAGATGAATGAAGCACTGTTATTCTGATTGACGCCACATGAAGAGAAACTAACCTGGTAAATACTTCATCATCTCCTCAAACGTCTGCTTGGCTCTGATCTGTTTGTCCTCCGCCGTTCGCTCCTCGCTGCTCTCACAGAACACGGCGTCTGCGGGAAGAAACCGCTCAATGAAACTTTAATACGTCACTCAGAGACTACATTTCTCCTTCCAGTGACCCCGAATCTGTTCTTCTGTCCGTCTCTGCAGCTCAGAGACAGCAGAGGAGAAAACAGTCAGTCAGACAGGGCGGCAGGTAGGGAGGTTTCTGTTAATCAATAGTTCTCAGGAGGGAAACTGTGTCTGGTGTGAATCAATGGTGTTACTGGGAATACTCCACCCTCACACACACACTCACACACACTCCCTGTTTCCCACCTCTGAGCTGTGTGATGAGGGAGACCATGTGGTGCTCCTGGAGGACCTGCTCCAGTTTGGACTGCATGTACTGGTCCATGTAGGCCTCGAACGTGTTCTTCAGCAGGATCCTTCCCGCAGCCAGGATGTGGTGCAGCCAGTCCGACATGTGGAAGACCGTCCGGCCTGTCGGTCACAGACACCAACACAGACAGACTGACGGGTCAGAACCGACTGAAAGGAGGCTTTAATGGTCTAATCTAATACCACTACATTCAAACAGTATATAAAAGGTAGAAATCTTCCCACCAGGGTTCACTGTTATTTTCCCTTTTCTTCCCCTGAGAGTGAGCTAAAAATCTACCCTCCCAAAATCCAATGATTCCTAAAGCTTCCTCTCTGGGGAGACCCTGTTTACTGGCCGACCGTCACTTACCGACGTACATCATGTAGTCATACATGCCGTCGACAGTGACCATCTCCATGAAGTAGTTGTGGTTGTATTTCCTCTCCCAACTGTCGGACCAGTTGGCGTTGTTCTTGAACAGGTTGCTGAAGAGCTGCAGGTAATATAAAGGTACAAGGATTTGTTTCTGTTCATACAGAGGTATCTATAATGAAAACATGATGAACCAGGACTGCTTCAGGGCCATACTGGATTTACAGGAAATATCTAGCACTGTATTTGATCGACTGGAGTTGAATTTCTGGAACATTTAAACATATAAAGAGGATTTTATCCAAATCCTCGTCTCCAGCTGGTAATTGCTAGTAAGAGTCTTACACAGCTAAAAATACCAGTTTCCTTTCAGACACACCCAAATCCCAAAAAGGGAAACCAAGGGAAACATTTATTGTGATCACAACCCTCCCTGAGGGCAGGGGGAATTCCTTTCTCTCAGACCTGATAAGACAGGACTTTTTAAACTCTGTCAGCTTCAACACTGTCTCACACTGAGAGTGAGAGAGCCAGAGAGTGAGAGCAGTTACCAGCGGTGTGTTTTACCTTCTTGTTCTCGGCCGAGGGGCTGAGGATGGTCAGCTCAGGTCTGCTGGGTTTGGGTTTGGGCGACTCGCAGGAGTTGAAGAAGGACTGGATGAAGGGCTCCAGGTTCTGTCCTTTCTGGAAAACAGACGTCACTCAGTTTCAGTGTTCAATGGAGTCATGTTGAGATCAGGGTACTTCCCAGGAATCTGCTCCAGATTCACAACATTGTTCACTGAACTACATAAAAACTCACTTATGATGACAAACTGTAGCCACACATAAAAACAAGACTAACATGTGAAGCAGGGAAAGGATCCAATCAGGACTAATCTCTCTGTGTGGTTTGGAGGACGGAAGTAAGATAATGACTTTGGAACAATGTCCTTTGTTTCAGCTCAGAGGTTATTTTTTGTTAAACTTTTAGGATTAAAGTGGGTTTATCTTCACTCTGCACTTGTATCTGACTGTGTGCAGCCTGAGCTCTATGACATGACTTCATATTGACACAGAGAGCAGACAGAGAAGGAAGAGAGGAAGTTGGACAATGTGTCTGTTACTGATTCCAGCTGTCTGTTTTACTTTACCGTGAACTGAGTTACTGTCACTCACCTCTTTTATCAGCTTCCCAGGAACAGACTTGAAAATTTTTCCTGTAAAACAAAAAGAGTGAAGTGTAAATCTTCTTCAGGAGGAGGAAGAGGAAGAGGTGAAGGTACCGATTACAACTAGTAGGCCTGTTGAACAGACTTTTGTTTTGTGTGGATGTACTGATATGTTTCAGATGAGTTTGCAGAGATGGATATTTAAGAGTATAAACGATTGAAATGTAGACTTTAGTTAAATGAATTTAGAAATAAAGCTGTGAATATCGTCAGACATATTAGTGGTTTTGGAGGATCATATCTCTCCTATGAGATTGAAGGAAGGAGACACCTTAAGAGTTATCATTTCCCTAAAGGTTGATAAATGACAGGACAACAGCAAGTAAGAGTTTCACTGGATGTATAACGCTTCAGGAAAAGAGGGAACGTGAGATGTGTACAAACCCAGGTTGACATCAGGCAGCATCCTGTCCAGGAACTGAGACTCTGTGCTGAACGGAGACAGGAAGTCTGCCAGCAGCTGACTGTTACTGAGCTCTGGATGCTGCAGGAGTCTCTGCACAAACACACACACAGGATTACATTTACACTTTAGGTATTTCACTGCTGTTCTTTTACTAAATTTACTAAAACAAGTTGCAGTTGCTGCCAGGATTAACAGCAACTGTCTATCTTGTATCAATCTGACCAATCATTCCCCTGATCGATGCTTCAGCCAGAAAGAAAACCAGAGGAAGAGTTTAATAAGGTCCTTTGAGCCAGAATGCTGACGACGAAGGAAATGCAGGAGGAAAATAATAGAAATGAGCAGGATGGGAACAATCAAACTCTGGAAATATATCTACCTGTAAATATTCCTCAAATTCTTCCCTTTTTGATGCGAGGAACTCACAATTCTTTGGTCCAATAATTCTTTTGGATGGAAGCTGTGCATCTGCAAACGTGCCTGGAAAAACAATGACAGATTAAAAACAACACAAACAACACCGGTTGTTGGCATTAGAATATGGGATCGGTTCTATGTTGTTATATATTTAAAGGCTCAGTGTTACCGTGGAACTCAGTGAGTTTGGATTCGAGAACGTAGAACTCCAGATATCTTCTGTAGACCGACCACTTCTCAGTTTCATGGCTGACTGCGAGAGGAGGAGAAATTACAATGTGTGACGGAACAGTAAATAAATCAGATTGTAAATCCTGTCTGCTCTTATAGAAACAGTTCGCTCACCTTCCTTCCTGTCATTGCGCTCCACATCGATGCAGAAGACAGGGATCTTCTCCCTCTTGACCTCGTCCTCGTACACGTCGATGTAGGGGATGGTGATGCTCCAGGCCAACAGGTTCCTCAGGCTGCCCGGCGTGCTGGCCGGCTCGGCGGGGGAGTCGTCCTCCATCACGACGGTCGCCTCCTCCACCTGCAGCCACACAGAGGACCAGACCAATGATGTGACAGAAAACTAATTTCCAAGACCTTTCCAGGACCATTCCAGGCCTTTTTCTAGGAGTCCTCTTGACAATACAGGTTACAATACAACGGTCATATGATATACCGGTAGGTCTTTTATTGGTATTTCACCCCAGTTTTATCCTCTTTGTTTAATGATGAAGGTTTAGGATGAAGTGTCTAGCGAAGAGCTAAAATACAATGAAACTTTTCCAGGATATGTGGTCATTTTAATTCATTTCCAGGTGTTTCCATGACTGGAAATCTAGTCTCTAAATTTCCAGGTTTTTCAGAATGTGTGCGAACACTTTTAAATGTAGGTTTGAAATCACAGTCACAGACTAATCTCCACCTCCAAGACTTTGACGAGAGACGAGAAGTAAATACTACTACTGTAAACTTTTTTTGGTCTTTAAATAAATATAAGCTGACATAATATATTGAATGAAATATGATAAGTAGGTTTAACTTGGTACAAAAATAAAAGTCTAACTTCAGCTAGTTAAAACAAACCTGACCTGTTCCTCAGACTTGCGTCCTGTTTCATGGAGCTTCAATGATGTATTGTTCTGTTTTTAATGTTCATATTTATTGAGTTTGTTTCTTACCATCAGTTTTATGTATCTGTCCTTTGAGGGACACAAAAACGGACAGAAAAAGAAAAAGAAACGCTCACCAGATCATCGTCGAAGTCGCTCATGGCGCTGGGCGGCAGCATGGCTCCCTCCATGGTGGTGCTCTTGAACACTCCTTTGATTTTGCTGCCAATCCTGCTGATCCCGAACGACTCCCCTCGCTTCGAGAAGTTTCTACAGCGAACAGAGAATAAGCTGATACACTCGTATGAACCTGCATTAATGCTACACAACCTCATCAAGAGACACGTTAACAGAATATTCTCCGTCTTTTTGACAGATAAAGTTATTTACATGCAACACTGGTAAATGTAAGCCTTATGAATCCAATTTAAGACCTATTTTTTGTCCATACTGGCAAAAAAAAGGTACATAGGATATAAAGGTCGGTGTTGTTTTGTCCTTGTTACAGCGGGATCGATGCAAATATCCTTACAATGTCTCTCTTGCTGTATTTTTTGTCCCGTTGTGTTTCTCCCAAATGTTGCTCCAATGTTGGGAAAGAGGAGTAAAATAGCAAATATAAAATTTGTCACTTGACTTGTTGACAGAGCATTTCATTGTGAGCAGTCTCTCTGTATAATGCATCCGTCATGCAGCAGACATGCAGTAAAACGGGCGACTGTGAAGGCTACATGTGGTTTTCAGCCACCAGCCAGAGCGTGTAGTTACTGAGAGCTCATTTCTAATGCTTCCAACTATTGTGCCATTAGGCACTAAAAGAGTGATAAGTTAGACTTTTACCTCCGCTGAGAGGATGGTGGATCAATGATTACTCAACCACCTGAGACGTTCCGCTCTAAAACCTCATCTTCTTTGGAACAAGAAGTCGGGGTCCACAATGTAAATTACTGCACTCGCTTCATTCAAGGCTTTAATCTAACAGTGTAGAAAACACCAACAGCCCGATCTAGAGCCAGATCTAAGGTACCAAAACTCAATGATTCTTATTTTCAGGTGATTAAACACTAATGAAAACATTTGACAGTAGATCATCCTCAATGTTACACACTGGACCTTTAAAAGATAAATAAAATATTTTAAAATCCTCTAGGAGTAGCTGGAAAATGCACCGTCAACTACACTGTCGCATTCTGGGCAAAACCTCGATTGTAATGTCTGACTGTCAACTACTGAATGAAGGGCAGTGGACGGTGATGGAACATGATGCTGTGTGTCAGACATGTCAATCCCTGCCAGAGACAAACACTTCTGATATCATCTGTACCATCAGCAGACACCAGAAGGACAAAGGACCTCTTGATACCACTGTAGTGCTCAGTCTTCTTTAACACGTCTATGGTCTCAAACGGGAGGTTAAAATCAACATGCAAGCATCAGCACGGCGTTAACAAACACAGCCGCCAAGCAGTGGCTCATAATGTTACCATTTGTTTATTGGAGTCACAGAGAGATACTCTGAATCTGCATGCAACCAACTGTGCACAGGTTGTTTGGGTCCAGTAACTCGCAGCCAGCAGACTGTGTGAGGTTAGATAACATGCTGAAGACCTACTCACCTGGTCTCTTCCAAACTGAAGCTTCTGGAATAAGATGCACAGGCAACTAATGAAGACACTGTGCGTGAATGCTATTGTTCCCTTCTGAAAGATAAATCATCCAACAATTCATCTCACAAACCTGCTGATCCTGTTGTTCCTCGCCGGAGACTCTGCTCCTCTCAGCAGGTGTCTGAAGTACTGAACACACAGAGGAGACACACATTACTGCTTACCTCTTACTACAAATCACATTTCTGTTGATTATTCATAATAAAGACCATATTGGTGTATGATGTGTGTGACTAATAGCAAACTGCTGTGTGTGTGACAGAAAACAGCAATAACACTTATAAAGTTTCTCCTGGTGATATTGTGGTTATTGGTTCAGTGTGTTCACAAACATCTGCTGCTTATTTTAGAAGGTAAAAGTGAACCAATCAGACGGCGTGTTTCTGTGTCCTTACAGGAGGTCAATGAGTGGGCGTATTTCCTGTGTGTGGGTGTTTCAATGTGGACCAGGTCTCATCAGCGTTCACTATATATATATATATATA